ACATAGAAAAACGCAGTTAACTTCAAAAAATTATTTTACTGCCTTCCCGATCGAATTTTAAGCTGAAATTTAGTATGGATAAACTAGACTTGATGAGGAACATGCTCAAAAAAGTTCATCAAAAAATTCCACCGAGAACCGCCCCAAACAGCGGTGTTCGGACGGCGTTCGGACAGAAACGTGCTGGACCTGAAAATTTCTCTCTATATATAATAAAAAGAAATCTGCAGAGCCGCAGGGGCACAAGCACCCCCAAGCCCTAAGGTAGATCCGCCCCTGGTTGAAGCACCGTATACATCATATACATACCATTCTTTGATCCCACGTCATTTGATCATAGTCTCCCCATCCACTCATCTCGATAGGGACGTTACGAGATGAACCTATTGTTTGTGGTAAAAGTGATGGATCGAAAGGTTCGCCATGAGAAGTCCAATTATAATAATTGGCAACGAAACCTTTTTCGTACAAATCCCACACAACTTGGTCGACATCTTTAAATTGAAGATTTTTACACTTTGTACATGGACATCTGATTTTATCGCCATCCATATAATTCTTCTGTTCTTGTGCAAATTTAATAAAATCTTCAACACTATTAAAAAATTCACTGCGTATTCCATAGTTATCGCGATGTTTTTTGTACATCCAACTTCTGTTTTGTCTATACATTATGCCTGTATATATATTATAATCAAAATATTATATAAGTACATTAATATTATTAATTAACTAAAAGCAGTACATTATTTGTGGCATTAATAATTTGAATTAACCAACTTTTCAATCATGTAGAAACGCCCACTAAAATATTATTTAGAAACATTAAGCTGGCCGGAATTAATAATTTACTAATATAAAGTTCACTAAAATTAACTAATGTTCAATTAAAATTACTAATTAACTAATAGTAATATGTTAATGACATTAATCGTTTTAATTATTAACTAATTCACAATATTAGAATTTGTGCACCAAACACACTAAATTATTACGTTAATGGCATTTATTCACAATACTAAAATTATGAAAATCTAATAGTACACATTAAATAATTAACTAACATATAATACTAATTAAAGTTATTACGTTACGTTAATGACATTTATTCACAATACTAAAGTTAACTAATTTAACTTATTAATTAGTTAATTTCCATTTAACTAATATTGTTAAATATCAATAATTCACAATAATATATAATTCACACTTAACTAATAAAGTTTGAATCCTAACTTAAATCACTACAAATCCTAAATTATGCATTAACAATATAACTAATAAACAAATTAAACCTAATCATCATCATTGATCAATTAACTAATATTTAAATCTAACTAATATTATCGACTCAAATTCTAAACCCATTTCCTCAATGTTTTAACTTGATTAATTAGTTAATTAATTTAAATTTAACTAATATTAATGTTAAATATTATCTCATTAATAATTCACAATAATAATTCACACTAAACTAAATAATAATAAAGTTTCAATCCTAGCTATATTATGCATCGCAATAACAATAATTGCTAATAAACAATAATTGGTGATAATAACCTAATAAGCTAGCTAACTTAATTAAATCACTACAAGTGACTAATTAATTAATCTATAATAAGCTAGCTAATACTTAAATCACTACACATCCTAAATTATGCATTAATAACAATAATTGCTAATAAACAAACCGGCCTAATCATTGGTGATATAAACTCATTTCAATTAACTAATTAATATTTATATTTAAATTTAACTAATTAAATTACGTTAATAGTTTAATAATATATTTTTAATAATATGAAAATTAACATGACCTCACTAAATTACGTTAATAGTTTAAATAAATGAACAACTAACCTCACTAATTAATTAAGCTAATAATTAATTTATTACACAATTAAAAGAAATTAGTTAAAATGACATACCTTATCTGCATAAACTGGGAAAATGATGAACTGACGGATTACATCATTCAATCTTTAAACCGATACTACATCACTCGAATCTACGAATTTTTGAACTGATAATTGTTGTTCTTGCAATTGTAATGGACGATGGGGTTGGGTTATATAAAAATATTTGTCACGGATTTGTCACAGATTTATCCGTGACAACCCTTTTTTCGTACTGTATTATTAAAGGTTACCGCTGGAAAATCAATAATTGAAGTTTGTCACGGATTTTGTCACGGATGGATCCGTGACAAAGTTTTTTTGAAATTTGTCATGGATTTGTCACGGATCTGTCCGTGACAAATGCCCGGGAGCAAAAAAAGTATTCACCTGAGTAAAAAACCGGTCGCCGGAATAAATTTTTCACGGACCAAATCCGTGATAATATTTTGTCACGGATTGTGTCACGGACCTATCCGTGACAACACATTTTCGTGACAAATCCCAATATTCCGTGACAAAACCCGTGACAACTTTGTCACGGCCGTAATCCGTGACAAAAATCCGTGACAAAAAGCGAGTTTTTTTGTAGTGTCATGTGTCCCTAAGATATCTAAAATGTGTTGTTTATATGTATTGTTAGTTTTTACCCCAAGTATGTATTCATGTGTCCCTAAGATATCTAAAATGTGTTGTTTATATATGTATTGTTAGTTTTTCTTTTTAGATAATTTGTGTTATATTTTGGTATGTATTGAAAGTATTAAAATTTTAGAAATCATTAATGATTATTTATTTCTAGTAATGTAGTGTACATGACTTTTTGTTGTATCATGTTTGTACATTTTTTACAACTTAATTAATATGGTTTAAATCTTAGCTCTCAAAGTTCAGCTATAAATTAAATTAGAACTACGGAGTAATATTTAACCTAGAATGAAGAAGAAGAACGTTGAAGATTTCTATTATATTCAACAATTTGATGATATTCATTTTTATATTTTTACATGAACTTAGTAAATTAAAAATAAAATTTATCTTGTGCGTCGTCGTTTTGCTATACTTTTTCTTAGTTGTGTTGCACTATTTGTGTATTTGTGAATTTTAGTACTAGGTATGCAATTTCTTGTATTTATTTTAACATTTCATGTGAGTTAGTTGGTGTGATGATATTTATTAATTGCAAGATTTGTTCAAAAATTTAGCATGTGTTTGACATTGTACCGTACCGTTTTGTACCGTTCCGAAACGACATGGTACCGAACGGTTCTATCCTTGGAACCGGACCATACCGGACCGTTAAAAATCTCATGAATACATTACGTGTTTTACCAATTTACCGGACCGTTCCGGACCACGCCGACCCCTAGTGAGGACTGAGCAGTCGAGCAGCGAAGCAGAGAAGACAGAGAGGCAGAGAGCATCCAGATCCCGAATTTTTGTTCCTCCGACCCGTTCCACTGGATTCAGACGCAGGATTTTTGTTTCAGCGTAAAAGGTCAAGGTTAAAAATTGGGGAAGGACCTCTTTGCAAAAAACGAATTTTTAATTAAAAAAGTTGAGGTGGATTAAACTACCAATCAAATGATACCAAATATGGAATGCACCAAAACATCCCTCAAAGCATATGCACCCTAAAATTTTCCAAATTAATAACAATGTCTAAATTAATGACATGTCACACTTTTACTTTCACTAAAAAAGGAAGCACTTCAATTGGTATGAGAGTAATAAGTGCCATATTGGTAATACCAAAATTAGCTGAATCAGTTGATTCTGTCGTAATTTCTGAAATTCTAGCTGAAGTGATTGAACTGGCTGATTCTAGGGCCGAGTCCAGAAAACCGAAAACCGAAATCGAATAAAAAAATAATCGAACCGCAACCAAAAACAACCGAATCGAGAAAAAACCGAAACCGAAAGGGAAAACCGAACCGAACCGTTTCTATTCGGTTTCGGTTTCGGTTTTGGCTCTCCGAAACCGTACCGAACCAAAAAACCAAAACATTAAAAACTAAGTATTTTATATTATACACTTGAGCTTTTGTCTGACATTGGGCTCAATTAGTGGCTGAACAAGTTACGGTCTTCTAACTTTAGCAGGATGGATTGAGAGCTCATTACCTTATCTTTTTTGCTAGTTATTTTCACTGGACTATGTTGCTTACTGGTTTTTATCAACTTGTTCATGCTGAAATTTGTACTACTTTTTAATATTGTATGGCAGACTAGCTTAATTACCTACTTTTAGTTGTTTTCAAAACGGAGCTCATGCTTGGTTACTGCTTTACATGTTAAAACGGTGTTTTTGAGAATGGTGGTGTTCATTTAGTTGTCTGCTACTTTAATGTGTTTTCAATTACTCCGTATTAGACTAAATTACTAAATTTGCATGCCAATTGTTCCTCCTCTTATTTTCATACATGGACTTTTGGTTAAAAAACCCGAATAAAAACCGAAACCAAACCGAAACCAACCAAACCGTGGTTGGAAGTTTTTATCAAAGAAACCAAATCGAACCGAACCGAACAATTCACTTTGGTTCTGTGTTTGGTTTTAGGTCAAAACCGAACCGAAGCAACCGACCCACCCCTAGCCGATTCTGCTGATTTATGAAAAAATTATATTTAAAATATATTTTATTAATAAAATAAAGAAAAATTCATATATAAAAATAGCTAAGATGGTCCTCTACGGTACCTTCTACCAATACATCAAGAAAAATAACTTGAACATTACTTTTTCTTATTATTACACAATTCAGCGCACGAAATCAAAAGTTACGTGTTTGGTGAAAAAGTTGACCGATAAATCTGATAAGTTGAAAAAGACCGTTACCAAACGGGTTCTAAGCCTTCATAATTTTTTGATCACACTATGACTATGCATTAAATGATATGCTTATCCATCCCCAATATTTCGTATTTAGATAAACCCTTCCATAACCCCCTTGTAAATACATATCATTATCTTTACTGAGTATTATTGAGGAAAAAACGGGACAATTACGACTAATTCCAATAGATTTGGAAGCCAAAACTTGAAAAATTCCGTCTCTCTCTCTCTAACGAAACTTCCTGGAAGCTCACTATGGTTTCCTGCTCTCCCCCATTTAACTAACCCTCTTTTCAATCTCCCCTGTACCTCCCCAGTCCACGCGCATTTCCGCCCTTCTCCATTACAATGAAGCTCATCAAGAGCATCTCTAACCCCAAGAAGCTATTCAAGTCCAAATTAGGCCGCCTCATTTCCAGATCCGACGACCCCACCTCCATCAGCTCCGGATCCGCCTCCGGTTCCTCCGATTTCCCCAACGGATCCTCCAAAAAGCCCCAAACTCCGACCAGCGTCCTCCCCGTCGAATTCCACGCCGACGTCTACAGCGAGCTCGTCCAGGCGTTCCATCTGATCGACAGAGACGGTGACGGGAAGATTCAGAAATCAGAGCTGGCTGCTCTGCTGAGCCTGTTCGGAGCAGAGCCTCCCAGCGAGGAGGAGATCGATACGATGATGGGCGAAGTCGACAGGGACGGCGACGGATGTATCAGCCTGGAGGAGTTCGCGGCGCTCCGGCCGGCTTTCGCGCCGCCGGCTTGCGGCTCGGAGATGAGAGACACGTTCGATTTCTTCGATACGAACGGCGACGGGAAGATCTCGGCGGAGGAGCTGTTTAACGTGTTTAAAACGATCGGGGACGGGAAGTGCACGTTAGAGGAATGCCAGCGCATGATAAGAGGAGTCGATCAGAATGAGGATGGGTTTGTCTGCTTCGAGGACTTTAGCCGTATGATGGAGCTGCGGATATGATTGGCCGATGATTTTGCATCGTATCTACGTCATGATCTAGCTTCATAGCTGCTCTTGATTAGCATGATACTCCACTATACATAGATTCTCCTTTCGTCATGCTGTGTTATTACTCCATATATAAACTTTTATTATTTATTGGTTTTAAATTAGTGGAAATAGAATAAAATTATTCTATCCACATAATCCTCCCTCCCAACATTCTCAAATTTCACTTTTCTTACTCAACTCAATTTCATTTGATCCTCTAATTTCAAGTACTGTAATCTTTTATAAACTTCATTATTTTTTCCATTTAATAGAACTTTTATCCTAGTTTTTAACTTGAAAATTGTAACAATATGTCCAGGTATGTGATTCTTTATTTTTTCAAAATAATTTGAGACAAAAGGTGTATAAACTTTACATAAGTAGTACGAAGTGTTAGTTACTTGAAGCATGCTATTGAAGTGTTTGTACGAAAGGTTGAATCCTCAACTCCAAGGGTCCCCATGCCCCGACCCCACAAGAATTTTGAGAGGATGTTAGTCACGGTAACTCATTTGGTCTAATGATGGTAAATCTTGTACCCATGCGCATAAGAGGTTCAGCCTAGCACGCAAGAGCTGCAACTTTCACACAACCGCTGCAAGATTCGATCCTTGGTCATTCTTCTGACTTTCTTACCACTTAACCGACTGAGCTACCCTTGGGCTTCAAGCATGCTATTGAAATTATGTCTGTATGCCACATTACTATTGTCTTAAGAATATAGTCTTATGAGTAATATTCATGTGCGGTCGGCCGCACCAGAGGGGCTGTCCGGCCGACGGCGTTTGGCCGCCTTACCGGTGGAATTTTTTGTTGAAATTTTTATGACATGTTCTTCATCAAGTCCAATTTATCCACAAAAAAATGAGATAAAAATTTAATCTCGAAGGCCGTCAAATGATTTTTTGAAGGTGCCTGCGTTTTTTGTGTAATTTTGCACAGTTAACTTCAAAAAATCATTTGAAGACCTTCCGGATTGAGTTTTTAACTGAATTTTTTGGTGAATAAACTCGACTTCATGAAGAACATGCCATAAAAATTTCATCAAAAAATTCCACCGGGAAAGCGGCCAAACGCCATCTGCCGGACGGCCTCTCTGGTGCGGCCGGATGCACCAGAAAACTACTCATAGTCTTATTATACGTAGTAATAGAACAACTTATTGGCCCTACGATAACAAGTAATGATAGTAGATTTTGAAAATGTTTGAAATTGATTTTAAAAGCAAAACTAGAATCATATTTACACAAACCAGTATCTCTCACTTTCACCCGAACACTACAATATCTGTTTGCACCCTTTGAAGATGAAGAAGCAATTTTGATTAAAAACCATATCCAAACACCCTCTTAGTGGTTCATGTTTTCACCGATGATGAGGTCTCTCATTTTTCATTCTTCCAAAAGATTGAATCTCCAACCCTAAGGGCCCACACACCCCGACTCGACAAGACTTTTAGGAGGTTGTAACTCACGGTGACTCAGTCGGCCCAATGTTGATAGACATGTACCTGTGCACATTAGAGATGTAGCCCAACACACATGAGCTGTAACGTCCACAAGACCGCATGAGTTTCGATTCTTGCCCATTCTTTCAACTTTCCTACCACTCAACCAATTGAGCTATGTGTGACCACTCCTTTTTCATTCAGCCGTTCATTGCTGCTCCGACGTAAGTGAGAGGATCGACTTTCTTGGTGTGTGTGTGCGCTGTGTGTATTAGGAGTTGAAGGATTAGGCTTTCCAAACATTCCTAGACTACGGCGTACGAGTGGGTGATGTTTTTTTTTGAGTGGGAAGCTAAGTGGGAGCAGGATGTGCCCAAGGTCGTTTTTTTGTCCTCCCTATATGGTGACATCAAATGGAAAATACAAGCAAAATATATATAGGCATTTTTTGGAAATATTGGTGTTCTTAGTTTATCAAAAAAGTGGAAATATTTCTATTTTGATATTGACATTCAAACGGATTTGAAAATGAAAACGCCATTATATATAAAAACATGTTGATGTTATTTATGTGATTCACGTATACTTCCATAACGTAAATTTGAGACAATTAATAAATTAACATCACAAATTAGTTATTTTAAAGAAAGAATGGCATCGATGTTACTTCTTTTTAAAAAAGCAAAAAAAGTGACTTTTTTTCCCTCTCGTTGCCTTCTTCCTCAGTTCCACTTTGAAGTCTCGCTGCTTTCAAGTTTCAACGATTCGACCTTGCACTCTCTCTGTCGTCTTCATTACTGAACCACCACCGCCACCTGAGCTCCGCCATGAGTTGCAGCCACCATCTCCGCCGCAATCGGACGTCGCTGATGGTAGCATCTTGCACCTCACACTGGCCTTCGTCTAGCTTCTCTGTTGTCGTTGCTAGCCGCGCCTCTGGTGTATGACGACTCCGATCTGAGGCCGCTGGTTCCGGATCCATCTTTCTCAAAGGACGACATCTTCGATTTGGGCTGCCGGTGCCGGATCCGCCATACTCCATGGGCTGGCTCTGATTTTGGATCCGATTTGGGGTACGATTTTTGAGCCGCCGCTGCTGGTGGTTCTGATTTGGGGCCGCCGTTGTTGTTGGGTTCCGATTTGAGGCCGCCGCTGCTGGCGGTGGTGTTATGACTGAGGTTTTGTGTGAACTGGCCCGAGAAGGACTTGGGGGGAGGACATGGGGCGGGACAGGGGAGCAGGGGAGGGGGTGGGGATAGGGGAGTAGGGATGGGGGCTGGATGTTGGGGCTGAGGGCGGGTGGCTGGTGGTGGTGACTGGCAATAACGACTGGGGGTGGCAGGTTCACTATGAGGCTGGCGACATGGATGGGAGGGGAAGGGGCAGTACGGTTTGGCCGTGGGAATGGTATGGCGATGCCGGCGGCGTGTCACTAGGCGGTGGTGGTGTCACTGTCGCGGTGTCACTGTTGTGGTGTCACTATGGCCGGCGGCGGACTCCTAGTTAGCTTTTTTCCGTTTTAAACGGGTTTTAAACACGTACCGTTTTTTTGAGTAAAAACACGTTTAAAACGAAAAATAATGTCGGTCCGTTTAAAAAGGAAAAAAACTCCTACTTCCCGTATAAAAACGTATTTTTCCCGTATTTTACAAAAAATAGAAACATGAATTGATCAATTGAATGAATGCATTAAATGTATAAGAGATCAAGAATACTTTAAAAGAAAAAAGGAAAACCTCCTCTCCGTGGCCCCGTGTTTTTGTATTGTTACAATACAAAATACACTATTCTTAAATACTAAAATTAATTGCATGATGGCTAAAGCTAGCATCCTAAAAGACTAAAACTTAAAACACTACTCCCTCCGTCCCATAATTAACTTCGGTTTTGACTGGGCACGAGGATTAAGATAGTGGGATTTGCGTGGTGGAGAGTTGTGCAGAGGAGAGAGAAATGTGTAAGAATGACTGTGAACCACATATTCTTTACCAAAAAGGGAAAGATGAGATAAATTTGGGACGAATCGAAAAAGAAAGAATGAAGACAATTTCGGGATAGAGGGAGTACTATATTTCTGATGTTTTTCCAAACAAGCATATCAAAATTAAGGTTTTTTTCTATAAACCTTCTGTTTTTAGTATTAACTTTTACGCATAAACAATAATAAGTGTAGTAATCGCACAACTTCTCTCATATGACATCCGTCGTCGTGATGAAAATGATGAGTTTAACTTGAGTGTTACTTGAGGATCATATAAACATAATGATTTTAAATTAGTCTCATTCTATTATTACTATGCCTTATTTTTTTGACATTATTTTGCAAAATTATGTCTTGGACTTGATTACTATTTTTATTTTTGTCATCAACTTTTGCATTTATGAATAATTCTTTTATGTAGTAATGAGATTTGCTACTTGAAAATGTGTATAATGTTATTTCTTTTTACTATATACTACGTATGATATTTTGTAAAGTATATAATTTAAATGTTCAAAATAATACTCCGTATTTTTTTGTTTGGATTTTTGTAACAGGCATCGTATTATACACGTATACGTATTTACATGTTTTTTAAAAGTCAACGTTTTTTTCAACGAATTTTGAACATTTTTTTCATTCATGTTACTGAATAAAACACGTACGTATTAAACCTCATTTAATTCCCGTACCGTATTTTACTAACTATGGCGGCGGTGACACGGTAGATGGCGGCAATAGTGACATGGTGACAGTAACACTCGAAAGTGACATAAAAATTGGACAGTGACATGTTTTTTTGGTGTCACTTTATCTTAGTCACATTTTTGTCCAAATATAAATGTGATCACTTTTTTGGAAACTTGTTTTAATTTAGTAATATTAAGAGGAAAACCCTTGCTTATGCTTCGTATATATTTATCGAGAAATCATGATTAGTATTTTAGTTATCTACAGCTTTGCTATGAAACTACTCTTGGGTAAAATTGAGTTGATCCTTGGAATAGGACACAAAGAACAAAGCGGGTGATTACACTAATAAAATACGTAGTATATCATCATACACTAATAAGAAAATGTATGCAAAAAAATGTATGTTTTTTTATTGTAATTATAATAAGAAAATGTATGGTAGAGTTTTATAAATATGCATGTGCATAGTTGTGTTATAACTTTCAAGTAAATTAATTGATAGTTGTGGTTGTGATTTTATTAACCAAAGACTTGAGCCTTTGTGTGTTTCATTTGTGCAATAAAAAATTCAATAAGTGACCTGACGTTACTTCAGATGTGTACACAAACTATATGCTATCGTATATACTAGCAACAATCCAAATGTTATATTATCAAGTGATAACGAATTAACGATAAAAATATGCCAATTGATGACAATTATAGATTTATACATGCGGAAACTTTTCCAGACGGAGGAAATGTTATAGCTTGGAAATGTAAAATTCCATTGTATCTTGTACACAATTTTTCATTTCTTACATTTTATATGTGCATATAGAGTCATATACAATTCAAATTTCAAAATTAATAATATACCTTTTAGGATTCTTTATGTATTTTGACATTATACTCTTAATATAAATACATCTCTTAAAACCCGTTCAAGGTAACATATCAATTATCATGTTCCATTACTCACATGGTATCAGAGCAGTAACAGATGATAGGGTAACAGTGGTAGGGGAACTCAGGTTGAAAGGATAGAGACACCCATTACTCGAAGCTTTACCCTTTTACATTATTAAAAGAATTATTGAGTGTAAGTGGATTTAGAAAATTAAGTATTATTTGGATGGTTCTATCGA